TCGCCTGGGCCAGGGCCCTGCTCCGCCCCCTGCTATCTCGACCGCGTTCCCCCTTGGCCCTGGCTGCATCAAGCCTCGCCTGGGCCAGGTCCTGCTCCGCCCCTGCTATCTCGACCGGGTTCCCCCTGGCCCTGGCTGCATCAAGCCTCGCCTGGGCCATTCCTTCTACTGTCGCGGCTTTTGCCTGGGCCAGGTCCTGCTCCGCCCCTGCTATCTCGACCGGGTTCCCCCTGGCCCTGGCTGCATCAAGCCTCGCCTGGGCCAGGTCCTGCTCCGCCCCTGCTATCTCGAGTTCCGAGCAAAGCCTCCGCAGTACCGGCAGTGGCCGGGCAGTGCCGGCGGCCCTGAAAGTTCACTGCCGTACGGTATGATAAGAGATTGAAACTTTATGGCCGCAAATTCAACGCCGGGCACAAACCGGCACACACTGACCGAGGTAAGATTGGCGGGCCCTGTGCGACACTGCGGGTGACGACGGTCACTGTCAGGACCAAGCCTCCTCGACTCTTTAACTTAACTAGTAACTTTGAGTAGAGGTAAGTCCGTACTCTCCCCTTCAATGTCCACTGGCACCGGGTTCAACATACGGTTAGCGTCAAACCAAGTTGAACGCCCGTTGAACGGCCCGGACCTGTGTCTCCGCTAGAGTCATGCTTGGAGGTAGTCTCGTGCCGCGTGCATTCCGAATTGTAAGTCCTCCGCTAAGATGATCATGATAGTACTGTCCGATCTTCTTTGATCAGACCCCTCAGGGCCTTGTTCTCCCATGTCTATGACTTCAGGGGTGATACTTCCAATCTTCCCTTGAGCGTAGCCATATCCTGCCATCGTGTCATCTGCTGTCCCGTCGTGGACTGATATAAGCTGACTCTCTCCTGCTGCCATCCACGGCGAGTCCTAGGTTCTTGACGGTCGGACGGTCTTCTTCATGATTCTCCTACGTCGTCCTTATTGTAGCTGTTGCTGTCCTCTCCAGGGGTGCATTCCGAGGCTAAGCATCTGTGCACTTGAGCCACGTCGATTGCTTGGCATTGTCTGAGGTGAAGCTTGCTCCTATCCGAGGTGCTTCAACACCCCGTGACCCGGGCCAGGTAGTACCGGGCCCGGCCGTACTACGGTCCGACGGCCCGCGGGTGGCACGGGGGCCGAGTCCCGGTCACCGGGTGATACGGTCGAACTTCCGCGAAGTTCACGGTTCGGAACCGTGACTACTACGCGGCGGTACTACGGTCACACCGTGGCACGGTCACCATCCGATGATCGTACTACGGCGCGTACGGTACTACTACTTGAACGTAGTACCGTGGGCCCGGGGTCGCCGGGCGGCGGATCCGGGACGGCGCCCGCCCGGCGGCGGGCCGCCGTGCGAGTTCCGACCGTCCGGTCGGACTCGCCGACGCCCGGACCCCGGCCGCCCGGCATCATCCCGGCCCGGACTCAGGCTCGGTCCGGCCCGGCGGCGGCGCGGCGGGCCGGGACGTGATGAGGCTTATAGCAGAGAGCTCCTGGCTGCTGGGGTGGGTGGGTGACAAACAATATAATCCCATGGTAGGGTACATGAAATTTCTTATTGACACCGGTTAGTTTTACACAAAATAGTTATATGTATATGTAGGGTAGGGTTAAATTTGATGGAGGAAGAGGGACAGGGTGAAATGGGGGATGGACTAGGGTGGGGTTGAGTCGCATGTGTGGAAATGACAGCGACATGGAAGGAAGGCTAGGAGAGGGTCAAACGAGTCAGGAGGGAGCCGAGCATGGGAGAGAAGTAGACGAGAACAGATGGAGAGAGTTGAAGTGAGAGGGGAGGAGGAGATAGTAGATGATGGCCGACCATGGCAGACGATGGCGAAAAGCATGAAAAGGTATCAGATGCTAATTAGGTTCAGGATTTCATTGAGGCTGGTTTCTGATGAGCAGAATGAAGATTCCCTGCAATTTTTCACGTCTCTATGTTGTGCACGACGAGCACGATGACATTCTTTGTGTTGATGAGCTGAGAAATAAGGTGCAGGACGCGTCCAGCCAGACCAACTTGGTTTGTAGGCTCCTCAACATCTCGGCGAGCTCTCGTGAGGTTCGCTCGTGATGGCTGCATGCTGGCTGATGCTTCAACAACCCGCAGGCTGACGATG